CTCTTGTGGAACCAACTTCCAGTTTCTGTCTGTGAGGCTGACACTCTGTCTACTTTTAAGATTAGACTGAAGACTTTCCTCTTTGATAAATCATATTGTTAGAAAATAAAAGTATAATTGTTTTATTTTTGTGCTTAAAATTTTCCATGTCCTGGATGACTCAGAAACATCCAATATTAACGTCCAGCATCAGTCGCTGATTGCACTGATTTAACCTAAATTTACACGATCATTTTAGCACATCGCTGCATTCCAATAATAGAGTGCTACACTGGAGCATCTGGTCACAGGCAAGATTCAGATACAAACATAGAAAAAGCCAATAGCAACACACATTGTTCGAACACATATTAATAACCTTGGTGTAGAAATTATATGCCTCTGTGTAATCCAAGCCTGTCACATAATTATATAATATGCTCTGACTGAACAACAGTTTCAGAATTGACATGCTAACACATAGTAACAGCTGGCTGAATATGCAGCACACCTTCTATTGCATATGTGGATTACATCAGTGTTCACTAATGGTGGGCACCAGTCCTCTAAAGCRCAAATCCACTAATTGCGGACCTAAACATTTTGTTTGCGCTWTAGCAGTCACACTAATTTTTATATTTCATAAGCAGATTTGTGCTTTTTAAATTTAAAATGCAGTTCTGCTAATAACTATTCATCTACTGATCATCATTACCTTGGACAGCGGAAGGCATGGCTGTCAGGACTCACAACGCATGTGATTTATCCAGCAGCTCCCSCTTCCATCTTAACACTACTTTTGCAAAGGTATACGTCCTCCCTGACTGTCGCTTTGGGTCAAGGATCAGTAGGTTCTCATTTTAGTAGGTCAGGTTTGCAAAGTATTTTTCTGACAGCAATCTAAATTACTCATAWGGCTTCTGTTAAATTATAATAAACACACAGTGCAAAAGACAATTTTCAGTAGCCAGCGGATCCACATTTTAYGGAAATTTCCCACAATGCTTTGTGTCTGTCTGCTTATGTAACAGGAAGACAATGGTTAACTCATGTCATAAGTGACAGGGCGACACTCCCTTTCTCACGTACAACACGTAACACACACACAACACGTAACACACACACACAACACGTAACACACACACAATACGTAACACACACACACAATACGTAACACACACACAACACGTAACACACACAACACATAACACACACACACAACACATGACACACGCAGAAGCGGGGCCCGCCCTATAAAGGGGCCCTATTGGCTATTACCTGTCATGTGACAAGACATGATTGGCCAATTGATTCATTGTTTTCAGAAGCTCTCTCTGTATATAGCAGTGTGTTACAGTCTGCAGCCTTATTTTGCTTGTGTACGAAGGGTCAGACGAAGAGTTTTTAACATGGGGGGTGAACTTATGGATGTTTCTCAGCAGCCTGTGGATGAACCACATGTGGAAGAAGAAGGAGCT